ACGAACCCGTGAAGAGACGCCGAGAAGCCCGCGTTGAAGAAGTCAAGAGTCGGCGGTGAAAAGCCTAGACAGGTCAAGCCAGAGGTAGGAAGCGCAAGGCCTGATTTTGAAAGGCTCCTCAGTGGCGACAACAAACTCATTGAGACGAGATCAAGAACCGACGTAACTAAGCCAAGTCGGGACAAGCCATACGCAAGCAGCACGGGCTCGGGCCTCAAGAAGCTACGAAGCGAGACGCTGCTGCCCAAGTGGATGAGATCCAGCACCAGAGGCATGGACCCTGGGCGAGCCACTCCGGACGTTGACATCGGACTCTCCGATCATCCGAAAGTCTGCAGAGACAAGATGGAACCCAAGTGCAAAAAGTCTGGAATCAGCGTCAACAGCCCCAAGCACGACATGCCATAGACAAGCGGCAGTGATCCAAGGCAGAAGTGTCCCCGCAAGGGCGGCAACGCCCCGGAGTGACAGAAGTCCAAGGCCAACATTGGCTCGTCAGTTCGCGTAATACCAGATACAGGCGTGGCAGGCCCCAGACAACTGTGGCCACGAGGTGATGTCATGGAGCCCGTGTGAACAGGATCTGGAGCTGAAGGTGACGAGTCCAGCCACGACACCCCAGACACTGGCACCAAAGAGTCAAGACAGCTGAAGCTGCGTATGGAGGGACTAAGGCCCATGTGTACGAGATCCAGAACGGACAGGAGAAAGTCCAAGCGGGAAACTCCGTATGCAAACGGGGAACTACCTATCTGAACGATGCCTCTCGGTGACAGGGAGGGACCCAAATGGAGAGAGTCCAGCACAGAGAAAGAGCTTTCCATCCAAGTCATGCCATATGCTAAAGTCGTGAAACCCGACCACGCAAAACCCCTAGGCGACGGAAGGCTTCCAAAAGTGCAATAGTCCAGCACCAGAAGTAGAAAGCCAGCACAGAACATGCCATACAATAGCAAGGAGCTACCGGGGTGGGCAAAGCTCCTCGGTGGCAAAGGCAAGCCCATGTGCACAGAGTCAGGTGCCGGAAGTGGCAGCTCAAGGCGTGTAAGTCCGTAGGGCAACAAGCTCGACCCTGGTCGTGTTGAACCTCGTGGGGACAATGACAGCCCTAAATGCAAGAAGTCAGGCACCAACGAGGACAGGCCAAGACGCACGACTCCAAAGACCGGCATGGAGGAACCCGTACACAGGAAGGATTGCAAAGGCAGCGGCAGGCCAGGAGTCACGAGATCGAGGGCGGGCATCAACGGCCCGGTTTGCATAACACCATAAGCAAGAAGTGCGAGCTCCGAGTGTGCAAGTGCCCTTGGTAGCGGGAGTGGCTCCATATGCACAAGGTCAGGTACAAAGGAGGACGAGCCTGATCTGGTCATGCCATAAGCCAGTAGCAATGATCCCAAGCATGCAAGGCTTTGGGGTAGCAGGCTGCTTCCCATAAGGACAGAATCCGGTGCAAGCAGGGGCGATCCTAGGCATGACAGCCCAAAGGCAGGTACAGGCGGGCCGATGTGTGCGAGGCCTCTCAACAGCAGCATGAAGCCCAAGTTCATGCAGTCCAGAATAGAGACTGTGCTGTCAAAGCGAAAGCACTTGAAAACTAAAGTCGCTGAGCCTGCATGAAGGGGGGATCGCAAGGGAAGGGAGCTGCCGAGTCCTGCAAAGTCAAGGAGCAACAGCGGGAAGCCCAGTCGCATCACTCCATATGCTGGGAGCGGGCTGCCAGAGTGAGCAAAGCTTCGCAGAAACGACAAGCTACCAAGATGGATGAGGTCTGGGGCTGGTATGAATGAATCTAGACCCGAGAAGCCATAGACAAAGGTCGAGGAGCCCAACCAGCAAGAGCTTTGTGATGACAGAGCGCTGCCAGTCGTCACAAGGTCCAGAGCTGACATAGCGAAGTCGAGCCAGACCATGCTGTAGGCCGACGACAACTCGCCCAAGCGTGCAAAGCAAGTGAGAAGGAGAGGGCTGCCAGGATGAACGGAATCGAAGACGGACAAAGACGATCCCGAACAAGTCATGCCAGAAGCAAACAAACTCAAGCCTGGCCGCACACAGCTCTTTAACGGTGGAGGAGGTCCAAGCTGGGCAAAGTCCAGTGCCAGCAAACTCGAACCTGGGCGGGTCATGCCAGATGCGGAAAGCGGCAAGTCCATGCAAAATGGACCATGCAAGGATAGGAGCAGGCCTGAATGCAAGAAATCCGAGACCAGAAGAGACAACTCCGGCCGAACAACGCCATACACTGGCAAGGACGAGTCCAGCCGACATGAGCTGTGAAGGGGGGGCAGAGGACCCGGATGAAAGAGATCTGGCACGAAAAGCGACGGATCTGAGCAGGTCATGCCAAAAGCAAGCAGAGAGAAACCAGATCTTGTGGAGCCCTGGGTCAACGAAGATGATTCAACATTGGCATGATCTGGCAGCAACAGCAGCAGGCCAGGTCTGGTCAGGCCATACACCAGCATCAAGGAGCCCGATTACAGGAATGTTTGCGGTGGAGTAGACGACTCAAGATGCAGGTGATCCGAAGTCGGCATCAGCGAGTCCAATCAGCTCATGCCGTAAGTCAGCGTCGAAGGCTCTGGGCAGAGGTGGCTGTGCAAAGACATGCTCGGGCCCAGGTGGATGAGGTCAGGGATCGGCAGGATGGGCCCCAACCGTGTCATGCCAGATGCAGGTAATGAAAGTCCAAGTCGGGCAAGGCCCCTCAACAGCAGCAGTAGCCCCAAGCTAATGAGGTCTGGCACTGGCACTGGAGGACCCGGCCTCACAATGCCGTAAGCGAGTGTTGAAGGGCCGAAGCATGCCAGCGTTCGGAGCAGCAAGGAAGGCTCTGAGTGCGCGGGGTCAGGGGGCAGCAGTGGCAAACCCAGGCGCAGCAGACCATAGACCGACAGCAAGCTGCCCGATTGTGCAGGGGCATGCAGCAGTGTAGAGGAGCCAAAGGTTACGAAGTCCGATGCCGGCAAAGGTGACCCAGGTAGGGAACAGCCAGAAGCAAGCAAAGTGGAGTCGGAGCAAGTGGATGCTCTGGGCGGAGGCAAACTGCCGGAGGACACAGGGTCCGGAACAGGAATCGGGAAGTCCAATTGGGACAAGCCGTAAACAAGCAGCGCAAGCCCGATCCACACGGAGCTGTGGACCAATAGCAAGGAGCCGAGATGGACGAAGTCTGAGGCCAGGGACGAAAAATCGAGCCGTGACAGGCCATACGCAAGAAGTGCACTCTCCGTTCAGCAGGAGGCCCTCAAAGACAACGAGCTGCCCAGGCCAACAAAGTCCAGGACTAACGACAGGCTCCCAGGCTGAGACAAACCGTATGCCGGCGATGCCAACCCCGACTGAGCGAGGCTATGGGGTGACATCGTCAGGCCTGTGTGCACAAGGTCCAGAGCAAGAGACAAGGAACCCAGCCGGGACAATCCATACACAAGGAGTGCGCTTTCAGTTCATACGTAGCTGCGTGAAAATGCTGCCAAGCCAGCAGTACAGAAGTCAAGCAAGAAGGGAGATGGCCCAGTGCGCGACATGCCGTACGGCAGGGTTGTGGGCTCTGGGCACGCAAGGCTCCTGGGAGACGGTATGGACCCCGGCAGGACAGAATCCAAGGTCAACATGAGGAAGCCGGCGCAAGCGAGCCCGTAAACAGACGTGCTCGATCCGGTGCGCACGGGACCCCGCAACAATGGCACACTGCCGGAAGTCACGTGATCCGATGCCGAAAGTGGAGAGCCCAAGCGGGTGACGCCGTAAGTAAGCAAAAAGGGCTCGGGTCTCATGAGACCATGCAGAAAGGACGAGCTACCGATGGTTACAGAATCGGGGGCTGACGAAGGCGACGCCAGTCTCGCTGTCCCATACACCAGAAGGGTGAACTCTGGCCAGGCGAAGCTTCGCAACAGCACCGGAGAACCCATGTGCACAAAGTCCGAAGCGGACGACAAGCTTTCCGGGCAAGTGAAGCCATAAGTGAATACGAAAGAGCCCATACATGTGCGACTTTGCAGCAAAGCTGGAGAGCCAGCTGTGATGTGATCGAGTGCTGGCATAGGAAGGCCGGGCCTGACGATGCCAAACGTCAACACAAAAGAACCCGAGCAAGCAAGGCTGTGCAGCGGCAGCACACTGCCAAGGTGGATGAAGTCCAGGACTGAACAGCTTAGACCAGGTCGGAAACTTCCATATACTGGCATCGGACTACCGAGTCTTGCGAATGCTTGCAGCAACATGGTGGAGCCTGACACCACATAGTCCAAAACAAACGGCGACGAGTCCATCTTGCTGAATCCATACAGAAGGGTCGACAGGCCAGGTCTGGCAAAGCTTCGCGAAAAGAGTGGAAGCCCGATCTGAACAAAGTCCAAGGTAGAGATCGACAAGTCCGAACGCGCCAGTCCATATGCTGATGACGGGCTTCCTGGATGTGCAAAGCTTCGCAGCGGCATCAGAGATGCAAAGCGGCAACTGTCAAAGGCCGTGAGGATTGGGCCAAAGCAAACAAGAGAACGTGCGAGCAGAAGGGAATCCAGCGAGACATAGTCCAGCACTGACGGTGGGGCGTCGAGGCAAGCCAACCCGTATGCCGACGTCGAGGAGCCTGAACAGCCGGAAGTTCGAGGCAGCATTAACAAGCCCAGGTGCAAAAGGTCCGGTGTAAGCAGCGAAAGATCTAGCCACGTCATGCCGTAAGTCGATGGAGCTGGGCCAAGGCATGCGAAGCTACTTGTTGGCATAGAGCTGTCGAAGTGAACGAAATTCAGTACGGGCATAACGCTTCCAAGGCGCACAAGCCCGTAGACAGGCATGGCTAAGTCGTATCATGACAGGCCTTGCGAGGACATAGCGGATCCCAATGTCACAAAGTCCAGGGCTGACGGTGCGAACTCAGGTCGCGCCATGCCATAAGGAGGTGGCAAGAACTCCACCCTCGAGGAGCTGCGCAAGGATAGCAGCGGTCCCAAGTGCAAGTAATCCGAGGCCGAAAGAGAGAGAGCAGGTCAGGCCATTCCATAAGCAAACAATAAGGATCCCAAGCATGAAAGACTTCGGGGAAACAGGACGGAGCCGGGAGTCACATGATCGGGTGCAAGCAGCAGCAACTCTGGACGTGCCATCGAATATGTCAGCGGCGCAGATCCCAGCCGGGCAGAACTGTGGGGCAGCATCGTCAAGTCTGCATGAATGAAATCCGAGGCAAGCAACAGTAGGTCAAGACGCGTCGCCCCGTACATGGGCAGTGGCAGTCCAGGATGCGCATGGGTGTGCAACAGCAGCAAGGATGCCGTATGTAGAAAATCCAAGGTTGGCATCAAAGGTTCTGAGCGGAGCATACCATAGGCCAGCAGCAAAGAGTCCAAACATCCGAGGCTTCGAAGCAAGGCCGGTGAAGCCATGTGAACATAGTCCAGCGCTGGCATCATGAGTCCCGACCGGGTCAGCCCAAAGACAGGGGTAGAGAGGTCCATGCAGCCCGGGCCATGCAAAGGTAGCAAGCTCCCAGAAGTTACGTGGTCTAGCATGGGCGGAAAGGATCCCAGGCACACCGTCCCGTAAGTCGAAAGAGCCAAGCCCGGGTGCGCAGGCTGCCTCAGTGACGGCACGCTTCCCAAGGACACGAGATCCAGAGCAAGCAGGAACAACTCAAGCCTTGCAACACCGGACACAAGCAGCATGAACCCGGGCTGCACGAAAGTTCTCGGAAGCATTGACGGTTCTGGACTTACAAAGTCCAGGATCGGCAAGAGCAGATCGGGCTGGCCCAGTCCATACACAAGCATGAAGAAGCCAAATCGAACAGGCCCTCGTGAAGACAAGGACAGGCCGGACTGAATGTGATCCAAAGCTGGCAGAAAAAAGCCTGGTTGCGTCGTGCCGTAGATCAGCATGGCAGAGTCGAGGCGCACATGTGATTGCAGGGAAACAGCTGAGCCGGGGGTCACGTGGTCTGGCACAGACAGGCTAAAGCCAAGCCGGATGTTCGCGTAGGCCAGCATCGAGCTTCCCGGTCACACAAGACTTTGGGGAAGAAGCAACAATCCTGTGTTCACAGAGTCCAGCACAGGCATGAAGAGTCCTAGCCTTGTCATTCCGGATGCAGGCAAAAACAATTCGAGCTTCACGAAGCTGTGGATAGGTACTGTGCTGCCAGAGCTCATCCAATCCAGCACGGGTAGCATAAGTCCCGGGCGCATTGCTCCATAAAGCGACAGGGACAGACCAGGGTGTCCACATGATCTAGGTGAGGCGGACGGTTCCAGGGTAATGAGGTCCAAGGCCGGCAGGATCAGCCCTGGTCGAGCAATTCCATACACAAGTGGAGCGCTGCCGCAGCGGACGGGGCTTTTCGGCAATGGGGCAGGACCGGGATGCAAGAAATCTAGCACCAGCAAAAACAATCCAAGCCGGCACATGCCAAAGACCAACGAAGACAGATCAGCACGCAGGAAGCCATGTAGCGGAAGCATGGGGCCCATGTTGCCGTGGTCTGATGGCGACAGCGGCGATCCTGGCCACGACACACCATACGCGGGCATTGCACTGCCGAGCTGAACATGCCCTTGAAGCAACAAAGAGGAGCCCATTTGTGTAAGATCTAGGGCTGAAGGCGGCGAACCCAACCAGGCGCAGCCATACACAGGCAACGTACTACCAGCACGTGTGAAGCCTCTGGGTGGGAGGGCCGAGCCAAGCGTCACGAACTGTAGCGCTGGCGGTGATGGCCCCAGCCGGGCAACGCCATAGGCGGGCAGAGCACTGTCTGGCCAAGCATGGCTCTGCGTCGATGATGTGGAACCTGGTATGACCATATCTGAGACAAGCGGCAATGGCCCAGGCCTGGCCATTCCGTACAAGGACGGGGTGGGGTCCGAGCAAGCCAAACTGTGCAGCAACAAGAAGGAGGCCAGGCTAACAAAGTCCAAAGCTGGCGTCAGCGATCCAAGCCGAGCCAACCCATAGGTCAATGAGGATGACTCAAGGCAGGAAAGTCCATGGAGCGGGAGAGTGAAGCCTGTCTGGATGGAGTCTGGGGCTGGGAGGGTCGAGTCCGGTTTGGATATGCCGGAAAGCGGTGCACTTGGGCCGAGATGACAAAGTCCTCGAGGAGACAAAGTAAGCCCCAAGTGAATGTAGTCCAACACCAGGAATGGCGGCTCCAATCGTGACATTCCGAAGACAAAGGGCGTGGGGCCTGAGCACAGAAATCCACGTGGAGGCATCGTCAAGTCTGAGTGCACGAAGTCCAGAACGAGCGGTGAGGAATCTAACCAGGCCATGCCGTAGGCTAACGTCGTCGGGCCAACCCTGAGAGATGTTCGCAAGAACATGAACAAGCCCAACTGCAGAATGTCAGGAACCGGAGGCAAGGGCTCTGGGCATGTCAACCCGTACACGAACGAAGAAAGCCCGGGTCGAACAAAGCTCTTCGGAGGCAAGGTGAGGTCCGCATTAATGCGGTCCGGCACTGGCAACATCGACCCCAGTCGGCAGACGCCATATACGAAAAGCAGGAGGCCAGGCTAGGCGGGCCCTCTCAAAGACAAAGAACTACCTGCAAAGCAGCTGTCAGGGATCAGCGGCAGACTTCCGTAGCGTGTCATGCCAAATACTGGGGTGGTCGAGCCAGGGCACACACGATTATGAACCAACGAAGCAGATGCCATACTGATGAGGTCCAGGACAAGCAGCGACAGGCCCGAGCAGGTCATACCGAATGCAAGCGATGTCAAGCCAGTTCGCAGGAGGCTTCTCGATAACGGAGGCAACCCCGTCATGGCAAAATCAATCAACAGTGGCGAGGCCTCGAAGCACGTTGCGCCAGAGACGGGGGAGGTGGATTCCGTTTAGAACAGACTGTGCGTAGGCATAAGTGGGCCTGGATGCAGCAAGTCCAAGAGAAGTAGGGAACTCCCGGAGCGAGCTCGCCCAACAGGCAGCATCATGAAGCCTGCTCTGGTAGGGCCTCGAGCGAACATCAACGGTGCCGTGAGTGCGTAGTCTGATGCCGGCGATGGAAAGCCATATCAAGACATGCCGCATGCAAGCAGCATCGAGTCCACCCGACAGTGGCTGCGTGTAGAAGATGGCAGCTCTAGGTGAAAGAAGTCTGGCACTGAAGGAAAGAGACCTAGACAGGCCATGCCATACACTGGCATCGGTAGGCCGAAACACGACCATGCATGCAATAACAGCGTGAGTCCAGGATGCAAGTGGTCTGATGCTGATAGGGATAGGTCCAGCCAGCACATACCATAAGCTGGCAGCGGGAAATCTGAACAAGCGAGGCCCTGCAAGAACAGCAAGGCTCCCACTTGGATGGGGTCTGGCGGTAGCATGACGGACCCGAGTCGCAACAGGCCGAATACAAGCGTAAGTGACTCAAATCAAGACGGTGTCTGCACTAGAATGACGGAACCCGCATGCACGCAATCTGGGGCAAGCGTGGCGAAACCCAGGCAGCTCAAGCCGAAAGGAGACAAAGACGAACCTATGCATGCGAGGCTCCGCAGAAGCAGCAAACTACCCAGCGCACAAGGGTCAAGAACAGACATGGCCAGGCCAAAGCGAACGAGACCGTAGGCCAATGATGAGCTTCCGAGCCGTGTAAAGCTCTGCACGGCGATCGCGCTACCAGATTCGGCTTTGTCGCGCACTGGGAGGCAGCTGCCCGTTCTCACCTCAGAAGAGACTGACAATGAGAAGCCTGGTTGCTGGAGGCCTTTCGACAATATGGCCAAGTCCATGTGAACAAAGTCCAAGGCGGACAAGAAGAAGTCCAAAGTCACCATTCCGTAGGCAGACAAGGCCAAACCGAGTCGGACCAAGTTCTGTGAAGGCACTGGTGGCCCGAAGGTAGCAAAATCGAGAACTGACAACAAAGAACCTAGGCAGACTACACCGTAAGGGGACACGGCCAAGTCTGCTCGCGAAAGGCCTCGCGAGGGCATGAAGCTGCCAGGTGTCACGAAATCCGAAGCAGGCAAGGACAAGCTTGGCCAAGCCATTCCATAGACCAGAGGCAAGGGACCGGAGCATGCAAAGGATCGAATTGGCAGAATTAGGCCTAGATGGACAAAGTCTGAGGTCAGCATGGAAGAGCCAGGCCATGCCATGCCGTAGATCGGAGGTGCACTGCCCACCCTGGAAAAGCTGCACAAAGAGAAGGAAGGTCCCAGCTGCACAAGGTCCGGTGCGGGAAGTGGGAGGCCGAGGCTGGCCATTCCATATGCTGGCGTGAAGAAGCCGGGGCATCCGAAGCTCCGCAAAAACGGAGCCGAACCTAAGTGCACAAAGTCCAGTGCGAGCAGCAGGAAACCCAAGCGCTGCATGCCGTAGACAGATGTCAACAAGCCGGAGCATGAGAAGCCTCGCAATGATGGCGACACACCCGTGTGCACGAGATCTAGTGCGAGCAAGAATACACCAGAGCGCTGGACACCACACACAGGAAACGGAAATTCTGCACGGCACGTGCTATGAGGCAACAGGAAGGGAGCCATCTGCACATGGTCCAGCACTGACAGCAACGAGCCCAATCAAGTCATTCCATAGACGGGCAGTGCACTGCCCGAACGAGCAAACCCTCGAATGAACAAGGGCGCTTCCACCATTGCATAGTCCAGAACTAGTGGAGGCGCGCCTGGCCAGGTGACACCATAGGTCAGCAGAGGACTTCCCATTCACGCAAAGCTGCACGTTAGGGAAGAGCTGCCGGAATGGCCAGGGTCCAGCACAGGCGGTGAGCTACCGAGCCGTGCAAAGTCGTAGGCGAATGTGATGAAGCCGTGGCGTGCAAAGTTTGCAACAGAGAGCGAGCTTGCTAAGGTTGCAAAGTCCTTAGCGGACATGGAGAAACCGAATCGCACGATTCCAAAAACAGGTGAAGTGCTACCTGGTCGAGAAAAGCTCGCAACCAAGGGGGAGCTGCCCGAATAGGTCTTGCCCTCTACGGAGGTTGCCTCACCAAAACGGACAAAGTCTTTGACTGGCATGCCCTTTCCGAAGTCCACGTGATCTGCCACGGAGAGGGTGCTGCCGAAGCAGACCCTTGAGTAGACGGAGAGTATGCTACCAAGGACAGTTGCATCGAACACTGACAGGCTGCTGCCAACCCGTACATCGGACAAGACAGAGAGCGTGCTGCCAAGCACTGCTGTGTCGAAGACCGACAGGGTTGACCCGATTTGCACCTGGTCAATGACGCTAAGCGACATGTTAAAGAAGGCCTCCTGCTCCTCGCGAGTCAGTTGCTTCCATCGACGCACTCAGAACTGTGCAGCAACTGCAAACCATACGTACGAGCGAGCAGAGCGGGCGCAACTTGAATGTCCTGGGTGATGACCATGTATGGCGTCTGCCCACCAAACCTTTCGGAGAAGATCACCTCGGCACATGGTTGACCTGTTGAGAGTGTACCGGGTACGGTGCATCTCCATGGCACTAGACATGTAGCTCTGCATGAAGCTTCTCAGCAGCCTGAGTGCGCAACGATGTCCATGGGCCTTTGAACGGTCTCCACACCGATGCTCCATTGCCTTTCCAAATCCGAAGCCAGACATGCCCACAGAGCAAATCAGGCCTTGAATGCATGTCAAGACAAAACGCCCATTGCCTGGCCCCCTTTGATCTGAATGTGAGCTTCGCGTCTTGGTTGAAGGAGGGATCTGCCAAGAGAGCAAGGCAAGCACGGCAGGCTAGCGTCTAGCAAAGCCGGCAAGGCAAGCAAAACACTTCTCACCACAAACTCGTCAGCCGTACCGATGTCAACAGGACCGAGGAGTGTAACCTCCCCCTCCCGGGAAACCAGCACCCTGGCCAACGGCAAGCTTCACAATCTCTGCGGTTTGGGTAGGTCTGCAAACTCATTCTGCGTCACTGGCTGTGAGTCATTACAACCACATCTGCATGTCCACACACCTCCAAACTATCAAAACCTCACAGCAGATTCGTGCGACAGTGCATCAGCTAGAAGAACCCCAATGCGTACTGACAAAAACCTGAAACGAAATCCCGCCAGCACCGAGTACTGTCTCGCAAGGGGCGCACCATGCGTGGACATTGTGAATGAGGCAGAGGACCAGTAGAAATAGCATTGGAAGTTTCCTCGCAAGCACGCACTTTCGGAAAACTCATGGGCTTGCAAGTGCTAAGCTGCTAAAAGATGCTAGACGGCAAAAAAGTCCCGAATAAATGGCTGGCTCAAGGCAGTGTCGCTGTGTGTGTGTGTGTGTGTGTGTCAATGTGTGTGTGTGTGTGTGTGTGTGTGTGTGTGTGTGTGTGTGTGTGTGTGTGTGTGTGTGTGTGTGTGTGTGTGTGTGTGTGTGTGTGTGTGTGTGTGTGTGTGTGTGTGTGTGTGTGTGTGTGTGTGGTGGTGTGTGTGTGTGTGTGTGTGTGTGTGTGTGTGTGTGTGTGTGTGTGTGTGTGTGTGTGTGTGTGTGTGTGTGTGTGTGTGTGTGTGTGTGTGTGTGTGTGTGTGTGTGTGTGTGTGTGTGTGTGTGTGTGTGTGTGTGTGTCAAGCAGACGCCTGCACCATCGGGCTGGGTGCGCATCAGCAGCCCATGCCCACATTCGTGGCACCTGGCAAGTGCGAGCCTTCTTGGGCCGTCGCAACACAAAGAAGTCGTCATAGAGCGACGACAATCCACTGCAAAGGCCACACACATATCACACGATGTTTGAATCTGGCGTGTATAATCCAGACCCATTGTGAAGCTGCATTACACGCAGCGTACCCTTCTCAACAAATGGTCAAGATGGTGCTGTACTGACTGGAGGCTGAGGGGGGAGCTTCCGTGCGAGGTGGTCATGACAGAATCTGTAGGTGACAGGCATGCCTGCGCCCGCGGCGTCCAAAGTCTGCTGCCAGGTTAGGTGCAGGACCTGAGCACGTCGAACATGCATGCGAAAAACTAAAACAAAGCTCTACGTCGCTGCGGACATCACGTATGTCGTGTGTTGAGGCACCTACTCATGCAGCGAATGAGTCTGTCATGGCGGGCAATTGAATACCCACCTGGAGCCGAAAAGCATGCATTGGCGTCACATGCAGGAAATCATCTTCGGGAACAATATCATTTGACACCACTAAGACACTGAGAACATATATGCACCCATCATGCGACGATGATTGCAAAATGCTTAGCGCTGAGCATTGCAGCGGTACTTTCTCACACGACAAACCAGCTCATCACGATGAAAGCCCCAATTAACAGTGTTGGCCAAAAGCCTTTCGCCGTTCTGCAAACGTGCGATTGCCAATTCATGACATGGTCTGGCAACTACATGATGCACATGTTGCTCGAGTCCGCCGATGACACCATGGCATGGAAGAAGTGCCACTGGTTGAAAACCCGATATCATGCCTTGGAAACTTTAGCAACAAACTGAACGATCGGAGCGATTTTGCTCGCCCCCCGAACGCCTTCCTTTGAACCCCCCGGTGAGCGTGTCTAGTTTTCGGCCCACGAATGTCCTT